AATCTATAAATTACAAATAAAAAATATTTTAAAAATAATAAAAAAATAAAAATATAACAATAATAAAACATGAACACGGATTAAAAATACCAAAATCCTAAAATTCAAAATATAAAAAAAGAAATTATAAACAGAAAAAGAAGTACTTCATAAGTTGATTAAAAACAAATCATTAAGGCTAAAGCCCATTTAGAAATTGAGTAATTTAAGCAAAAAAAATTAAATTGTAAACCGAAAGAAAATAAAACAAAAACATCAAGTATACGATAATCTAGATTTGCATTGTAGGGGCTAATAAAAGAATAATAAACATAAAACTTAAATTGAAGGCTAAAAAATTTGTTAACAACAAAGTTAACAAATAACCACGAAATCTGTATAAAACAAGTCAAAAAGATGACTAACACAATGATTCTTCTTCACCCTTGCCAAGAACTAATTAAAAATTTAAAGTTTCTCTCTCCAATAAATTAAAAATCAAACAATATAATCAATTAACAATTATAATTAAGAAAATTAAAGGTCAGATAATCAATAATTTAAAGATTAGAGGAAGAAATAATTAATAATTATAATAATTAATAATTATAGAAAAGAACGTCTCAAAATAAATTAAAAGTTTATTGTTAAGAAAGATGTTAAAACATTAAAATTATATGTACTTTGAAGTAGTAAAAGAAAAGAATATGAGTTTATGTGATAAATTATGATATAATGGACAATTAACTTTAAATTTACTTTTTTTTACCAAATATTTAACATATATTTTTTATTTTATACTTTCATTAGCTTTTAAATTTGCCCCCTTTTTTATTTTTTACCTAATTACGGTACAATAGTTAGCCTATATATCCTACACCACCTTTTTAATTTTATACGTTAATTAGCACCGACACTTTATTTTTTTATGGATGGCACTGACACCTTTAACAATTGCAGTGGGCTCCTCTTGTGGAATTCTTCTATTAAAGGGTTCCATAAATCTTACTTGTCGTCGCTTAGGACATGTTTAGTGTAGATTGTGGGGAGAGTTTTTTTGGCTCTAAAAGTACAAGCTGCACCAAACGGGTCAGCTTCTCAAAGTGGCTGTAGCTTTTGAGAAGCTCAGCTTCTCACATTTCCTTTGCAAAGCTCAGAAGCTCCCATTTCTTACTTTCGCGGGAGCTTCTCGCTTCATGTTTAATGAAATTGGTATGATCTTTCTATTTTATCCTCTCACTTCCTTTTATTTACGAAAAAACTACTATATAAAGCACCAATTTATAACTTCACACCGACCAGCCTAGATTTCTTCTTTCTCATCCAATCAGACAATCAGAGAAACAAATCCAAAATACTCATCCAATCAGAGAAACAAACCAAAAATATCCAATCAAAGAAACAAATCGAAAATACTTACCATATTCTTCCTCATTTTCTTTCCCCTTAAACCAAAAATCCCTCTTCGGAGACGAACCCAGGAGCTGGGTTCGCAGCGAACCCCGCGCTTGGGTTCCGAGACGAACCCAGCGCGGATTCGTCGCAAACCCCTCCCCTGGGTTCCGAGACGAACCCAGGCGCGAGGTTCGTCTCAGAACCGAGGCACGGGGTTCGTCTCAGAACCCAGGCACAGGGTTCGTCGCGGAACCAAGCGCCTGGGTTCGAGACAAACCCAAGAGCTGGGTTCCATGACGAACCTGGGTTCGCACGAACCAAAAGGTGAAAAAAAAAAAGAAGAAAAGAGGAATGGTGGAGAATAATAAACTTTATAATATTTATATTAATAATTATATAATTAAATAATTTTAAGGTTATATTAATAAAAAATTTAATC